ATAGAATTACTGGGAATTTCAATTATAGTGTTTGGTATATATGGGAATTGGAAGGGAATAAGTAGTATAAAGACCAAAATGCCTATGTAATTGCAATTCCTAGGGAAAGATGTAAGATTAGTAGGGAGGGCAATTTGGTCCACACACCCCAAACTTTCTTCCATGTATTATGGAATTGCAATTCCTAGGGGGAGGTGGGATTTGCAATCCCTCAAATTTTAGGAATTGTAATTCCATAGAATTGCAATTCCTCCCAACCAAACTCTGGAATTTTCCATTTCTTGGAATTAAGTGGGAAAGGAATTGCAATTCCTCTCTACCAAACATGCCAGTGTGTTTGAGAAATTGTTTCCCAATTTCCGACAACGGTAACTTTTTTTGTGAATAGAATATTGTTGCTGACATGCGGAAAGTTTTAGCCAAAAATCCTCAAGTGGAACAACAAAGATTACATAGACGAATTTTCCTCGATAATATTGATCGAGAGAATCAGGCTCTTTTGGTAAGTTGTTTTAATGTGCAGACAAGTGCTTTTATTTACAAAGTGATTAGTTTTTCTATTATGTAAGAGAAACCGATGATGGCCATTGATGCCACCGGCACACTAGTGTTGGTTCACGGGATTTGTTTTTACATCACACTAAATGTGTGTAAATATACGGAAAATGCCTTCTGCACTTTTGATATGTTATCATTATTGTATCCCGGTTTTAATGATCCTAATTCTTTCATTGAACACATTTTCATAACAGATCATGGTGTCTTGCTTTGTAAAGACTTCACATTTTGAAGAGTACCTTCGAGTCAAGGTGAGAGTTGTTCACTATAACATGATTATATGATCGTATATAGTTCATGCACTTACATGGTGAGCATAATAATGGAAATATTAGATATGATCATATCTTTATCATTTGGAATGTGTTATTGATGGGCATGGGATTTCCATGCCATTGGGACGGATGTAGATGGGCCGAGGGGGTGCAATTTGGGCCTAGGGTTGTGAGGTTGGGCCAAAGTGTGGAGGCCCATAAAAGAAAAGGTGCGCTCGAGGGGCCAGCATGGTACGCATTATGGATGACTAATGAATTGTGATAACACTTTTAGTGGGGTTCACAGTTATGAATCTTCCTATAATGCAATGGGCCAAACCGCACTAAAAGACTGAATCCAATCAATTAGCTGGTCTAACCGATAGCTCTTAACACTTTATAACGGTTTCCATCAATTCATACATTTCATAACATTTTTAATCACTCTTGGCAATCATATGAATGAATAGATACATCGATATGAATGAATAGAATTAATCACTCTCTTATTTTATCAATGTGGGACTCTTAACAATTACCATTTCAAACCTTTGAACAGGAAGTCATATTGCTGGATCTTCTTAGAGTAATCAGTCATCATCGCGCTCGCCTTGCCACGCCTATCCGCACAGTGCAGAAAATATACAAGGAGGCCGATGTGGATGAAGTGCCGCTTGCTGATTCTGTTATCACTGTTAACCGTGCTAACCACCCGTTCCTCCTGATTGAGCCGTCTTATAAAATTAATAGCAGCGAGGATAAGACCAGAGCGGGGGCTACGCCTCCAAGACCTAACCAAGAAAAAGACGGGAAATCTGAGGTGCAGACGACGGCCTCCAAGGCGGCCGATGGTTCCCCGCCAATCGTTGATGGCAACAGAATCGATACTCGCGGCTCTTCAGGGTCTAGTACTGACACCGAAGCAGGAGTAGCAACCTCGGAATCGGATGGCAAAACGCCAAACACCGGCTCTGCCGATTCGGTTCAAAGTAAAAACGAGAGGCAGCAGCAAGTTGACAAGGTAGTTCCCGGGGAGGCATTGGTTGTCCCCGAATTGAGCGCCGAGAAGATAGATGCACCTTCGGGTGTTCCACAGGCAAAACAAGACGGTGGTGAAAGACCCGCCCCAGCGCCATCTCAGGCTGTGGCGAGGCCAACGCTAGAGGAGAACATACTTCTCGGCGTTGCACTCGAAGGATCAAAGCGCACGCTCCCGATTGAAGAAGAAATGACTCCATCCTCATCCCCATCCCCATCCCCATCCCCCGCAGCGGCTGTAGAGTCGAAGGAGTTGGCCGCCTGCCGGAATGGGAACAACGCCATCACCACCGCCACCACCACTGGCGGCAAAGATAAGAAGGATGACGCCGGAGTTCAAAGCTCCTCCCCAAGCGATTTGAAAGAATGATAAAAGGAGTGATTATTGCTATAAATTTGAGTGTGCGCAATAATGCAGTAAGGCCATGTTTTTAGCGCCGGCGGCATTGTGCACACTTGTAGAATCGTACATGTTACCAAAGTTTCCACTGTTGTACTGTAAAACAAGAATCTGCCACCATTAAAGTATTTAAGTTACTGCCCTATTTGTCAATATTTTGATTCGATGAATGTTGATTTCTCCGATTCTTGCTAGCTTGCCTTTAGCACAATCATGGTTGCGGTAGGCGTTAGGCACTAGTCGAGCACCTAGTGCCTAGGCGGAGCGAGCGTCAAAAAAACAGTAGCAGATTTGCAGTTTGACAATTTTAGTGAGGTTGTTTTCAACATTCAATTAAATAACACATCTAAATAAATGAAAAAGTAAATACCCAAAATGGTCCCTCGACTATAGCTAAATTCACAAATTGATCCTTGACTTTCAATTTTAACCAATTAAGTCCTTAACTTTACAATTTTAACACGATTTGGTCCTCCGTCTATTTGACCGTTTGTTGACTGTGATTTTTGAGGATATATATGTAATTTCATGGTCCATCGTCGATTTTTTAAGGTTCCGGTTGCATTTTCAGACCGCACTGTTACATTTGAATCCACCGCCGAAAGCAATCTGTCAAATTTTGTCGCCTTTCTTCATCCTCCATTTGGATTCAATATAGTTGAGTTCGTACCAGAGTGAAGAAGACAACGTGTTTCCGAACCGGTGCAGCGTCATCCTGGAGGCCTCCATGTGTTCCGGTGAGAGCTGCGGGTATTTCTGGAGATCGTCGATGACGGCGCGGCGCCGACGTTAATGCAGAAGTGTTCGAATGACCAAATCGTGTTAAAATTGCAAAGTTAAAGACTTAATTGGTTAAAATTAAAAGTCGATGACCAATTTGTAAATTTAGCTATAGTTGAGGGACCATTTTGGGTATTTACTCTAAATGAAATAATGATAATTCATAAGTCATAACATCAAAACAATATTAAAAACTAAAAATACTCAAATATTTCAATTATCCAAAGATTCAAAGTATCAAACTAGTCTACGGGTGTATGTATGTCATATTATATACTCCCTCAATCCCGTAATGTATGTCCTACTTAGTTTTGGCACGCATTTTAAGGTAAGTAAAGAAAACTGATTCCCTTTCCATTTATGCCCTTCTACTCTCTGTCCGTTTGAGTACTTGCTACAGTACATTTCTTCTTCTCTCTTCTTTCTTCATCTCATTTGCAAATAATTCAATCATCTTTCATCAGCAAATACTTCATAACTAATATGTATTCTATTCTTATTTATACACCCAATAATCATTAAAAAAACAAAAAAAAAAACACAAACTTGTTTCTTCTAAAAATCATCAGATCTACATTTGACTATGATGATTTATATAAAAAGGTTTGGTACATTTATTCTCAAAGAGCTGAGCAGCTATTTATACAGAGACAATAACATGAAAGGTGGAAACTAACTTGGAGATAGTCTAACAACCCTATAGACTCTAACAGTTCAATAATATATATATATATATATATATATATATATATATATATATATATATATATATATATATATATATATATATTAGTTATGTTATATACATATATAAATTTGGTCTGGATATCAAATGTAAAAATCTTACATAGATTATATTAGATTTAAAACTAAAAATTATATTTATTTCAATTTTTTAATGCTACTGACTTTATTACATTGTTCTTATCAGTTTAATATTTATTTCATTTAAACCAAACAAATCTATAAATATTTTAACTATAAGGTCTAAAAATAACTCGGAATTACACTGTAATTGTGTTAATTTTATAATATTACTCTAAAAAAATACATTTGAAAAAAATAGTGTTCGTTAACAAATTTTCTAAATAGAAAATACAGAAATTAAAATTGAAAATTTTGAAAATAGAAAACAGAGAACAGTGACCTTAAAGTAAATGGACACAAACCCTTTACCCTTTCGTTTTGTGCTTATTACGGAATTAATTTTTGTAATTTATTTCCAACAATTTCTTTCCCTCCCAAATTTTTGCTCTAATTTTTTTTTTTTTTTTTTTTTTTTTTTTTTTTTTTGATGTGGCTTCCATTCACTAGTGTCATGAATCGTTTGATCTCATCACTAATTAAAAAGTAAGGTTAGTTATCAATTGGATAATGTCATATCATGGGGGATGCATTTGAGTGAAAAATAAGGAGGGGTATTTAACATTATTTTATTTTATTATAAAATAACGGTAATTGAGATGTAATATTAAGTTTTTATTATAATAATAAATTGTAAAGACAGACTTTTTTTTTTTTTTTTTTTTTTTTTTTTGTAAATAAACTAAAAACTAAAAAACTTTATTAAGTTTGTTGGAGTCATGTTTGAACTCAAAAAATAAGATCTCGATTGAATTTGAATTTTGACATTTTGAATCAAGCTGGATTTTGACTACTCAGATTTACATGCACGATAACACCCCTAGAATATAATGAACCTAAATCCACAATTTATTTTCCATCAGCGAAAGAAAATTGAAAGCAAATTATGCAGTACAAATAGGAAAATAACGAGTTTAGCTCACTGATTCAGTAGACAGTATTTGAGAGAAGATATTAAATTCGAACTTCGGCAACGGTAATGTGAAGATTATGTCCGAAGTGGACAGATCCCTTGTGACTTGTGCGCACCAGTATTTGACCCTTTCTGTTGAACTCTATTGAGTCACCGTGATTTCCATCATCTCAAAACACAGAAAAAATATTTCTCTATTTAACCGGCAGTATTTACGAGTGCAATACAAAATTATTTTAAAAACAAATAATTAATTGCACGCCATAGAGCTGATGATACTCTGTTACTAAAACAAGGTTTTATATATACTTAATAGGTACGTGATTGAAGCAGCAACCAAGCCGGGAATGCCATCTCCATTTCCTTTATGCAAACTTCCCATTCTCATCGGAGCTAGTTAAATGGTAGCCTGTACATCATAGAATATATATTAAACTAATCCATGATACACAATAAAACTCCATTCATTTCATTTTATGTTTCTAGTTCGATTAACATGTTATTTACGATTCGATTTTTTTTTTTTTTGGGGGGTAATATCAAAGGGGTGTTTGGTTGGAATATTAAAACATTCTACATTGTCCATAGCGGCTGACCAGCGCAAATAAAAAAAACCAATAGAAAATTCAATCTCACGAGAAATCACACTTGAAAATTTGTGATTACCAAGCTTACTATCGTCTAATAAGGTAGGTTGACCCAGAATCAAATACTTGATAATTGGAATAAATTTTAATAAAAAAAAAACATTTTATTTAGTTGTGAATGAGAATTCAAATCCATAAATGTGTGCGAATGTGTGATTTTAAAAAATGGGTGAAATGTTTTTTTTTTTTTTTTTGAATGCTACTGACTCTATTACATTGTAGTATATGTTCAAATATACTTTTTCAACCTAATGAAGCACAAAGAGTCAACGTCTCCACTGAGGCTCGATCTCATACTACATGTCATTTAAGTACAAAGTGCTCGGTAAATGTTTTTTTTTTTTTCATTTTTAAATTTCTTATTTTCCATTTCAAGAAACAAAAGTGAAACTTCATAAGGAAATGTCTTCTTCTTCTTCTTCTTCTTCTTTTTTTTTTTTTTTTTTAAATTCCTTCTTGATTTGAATCCAAACCTTTAAATAAATAAATAAATAAATGAATCCGATAGTATTTTTTAAAACCCATAAACCAAACGCCCCATTAGTTTTTTTTCTTTTTTTTTTTCTTTTTTAGTGCTACTGACTTTATTATAATAACTACTTTCTCAACTTACTAAAATACAAAGAGCTGTTCATAGTAGTATCTGTTCTAAACCTAGCTATTGAAACACAAAGAGTTATTCATAACTACTTTCTCAACCTACTGAAACACATAGGCTCGAACTCACAACCTCATGGGAGTCAAACCCAGGTGCCATTAGACCACAAAGTCTTGACAAACGCCCATTAGTTTTAGTATATAAAATTTGTATATAGTACTCAATATGAAATTTTGATAATTTCAACCTTCTAATCTTGCTTATAAAAGACATTCATAAACAACATGCATAATAACCAACATGATATATATATCGCAAAAATTGCTTACCCTAATTTTAACGAAGTATCCGAGCAATAATCCTCTGCAGGCGGAGCACTGCTACAGCTGCACACGTTGGTGGTGGTGATGGACTCCGACGAAATGCCTTCTTCTGCCACCGTGCACTCCACGTCAGCAGTCGCCGGAAACTTTCCGCCGCCGATCATCGCCACCTGTACTTTATCATTCAGCCCTACTTCTACTTCTCCCAAAATAATTATTACGATTAAACATTAATAGAAACTATAAAATTATAATTATTAAAAAAAAAAAAACACTTTACTTTCTGTCGCAATTGTTTATTTTCTTCCAAAAGCTCAGCACCCTGCAGAAGAAATATGGGAAAAGAAGAAGAAACAAAGCAAAATTTTTTAATATTCAAATATATTTTACTTCAGAATTATTCCATATTTTTTCTTTCTATTTTATATATATCAAGTATGTATTCTAAACAAGAATTTATACTAATAAGAATTATTTTCACTTTTAATCTTACTACTATTAGGTCACTTCCACATCCAATTCTAAAGCATTACTTTTATCATATTTTGGCGTATAATTTTCAATTTTTCAACGAAATCTCTGATAGAAAACAACCTACATGCATCACATTTCTAATTCAAAGTCATGTTTTCTCCTAAAAAATACGGAGATGTTCAGTCTAATATATGATTTTGAACTGAAAATGTGAACTATTTTCTATCAGAGATTTTAGAAGGATTAAATTTAGTACCAAGAATGAAAATAATTCTACTAATAATACATTAATACATAATGTAATTTGAAGCTTCTTAGCTTGTTTTGCAAACCTTCCTTTGAAGGGTAGCAATCTCGTTCATAATTCTTTCACCCTGAAATGCATCAATCAACAAAATTGTTGCCAAAATCAGTATTTAAAAAAAAAATGAATATTAATTATCTTTAATAAAAAAAATAATAATAAATAATATTAAAAAAAAAAACCTTGGTCTTGACCACACGAGATAGTCCAACTTCAAGCCTTTTTTCCAATTGTTGTAGCTCTTCTATACTTAACCCTTGAAGTTCCTCCCCCTTCAACATCCTGTTGTTCATTTAACCTACTTACATCATTCATCATCATACACTCATACTCATGTGGTCAAGACCAAGGTTGTTCATTTAACCTAGTTCAACCTATTACATTTTTTCTGACCCTTCTGGGCTTCAGAGGGTACATTGATGAAATCCATTCGACATAAAGAAAATTTGTTAAACATATAATATATGAATATAAATGTGCAATTTAATTAATTATCAGTTTAACCTTTTAGTTGAGATGAAACACATATTTTTATATCAGTGCCAACTTCATGCTAAAGGTATAATCTTGTGTTGTTTAGAGGCGAAAGTGAATTGAAATATCACAACTTTATGTTAGGTGGGCATCGTCCCTCTTTTTGGACCTAAGGCTAGCTCGCTCACCAATATGGGCAGAAGACATTGTTGGATGGGGAGTTTGTCTGAGGCTAGCTGATGTTAAAAGATAACGTAGGTGTCCTAACTCCTAAGATGAGCAACATGGCAAAAGCTCGGTTGACTCTGAGTTTTGGTACGAATATGATCTGTGAAAGTGTGGCCTAACGATTCTTTAGATCGATTTTTGAAATTCGAAGCTAGAGGTGTTTGAAAAGTTACCACATGGATAACTAGCTTGTGGCAGCCAAGCAGACATTCTTACACACGTGAAGGGCATTGAGCATATATAATATGTAAACATAAATGTGCAATCTAACTATCAACTTAGCTTTTTAATTGAGATGACACACACATATAAGCTTCAATTAATTTTATTAATTATACATTGAGTTAATACCCAAAATCGTCCTCGACTATAGTGGTTTTTCTCAATTTCGTCCTAAACGACTTTGGTGACCTAATATCGTCCACGACTTTTGTGTTTCGCTCAATTTAGTCCTCCATTTGTTATTCCGTCAAATTAGTGTTAAATAAAGGGACAATTCAGTAATATCAATATTGATCTCTCTTTACTTTCAACTTGTGAAGTGCGAAATTCCTCTTTCTTGTACGAATTACACCCAGAATTACTCCCGAACCTGCAAATCAAATTTTATATTTGCAGTTTTAGGAGTAATTCTGGGAGTAATTCGTAAAAAAAAAAAAGGGATTTCGCAGTTTGCATGTCTATGAGTAAAGAGATGCCAATATTGAAATTACTGAATTGTCTATTTATTTAACACCAAATGGACACAATAACAAATGAGGGACTAAATTGAGCAAAAACACAAAAGTCTGGGACTAAATTGAGCGAAACACAAAAGTCTGGGACGATATTAGGTCACTAAAGTCGTTTAGGACGAAATTGAGAAAAACCACTATAGTCGAGGACGATTTTGGGTATTAACTCATTATACATTTTACTACCGTATCATTATTTTCAATTCAACCACATATATTTGTATCACATATTATATGAAAAATTGTACCTGAATTCGTGAGTCTTGTCAGCAATTTCCTTGCTCAGTCTCACATGAACACTGTTCTCTAGCTAAACGTCGAGGACAAAACAATACTTTAATTACTTACTAAATATGAGCAATAGAATTATGTTTTATATATATATATATATATATATATATATATATATATATATATATATATATATGCGTGCATGTGATTTTAAAAAAAAAAAAATTCCATTAATTAGATGTAAGTTTTCTTTTCTTTAATTTACGGGACAGTCTACCCCGCAGCTATTATTCAAACATGCATGTGCTATGAATGAAGCCGACAAATGGCTACAAAAAAAGTAAATTAATTTTGGTTACCTATAACTAACTTGTTCAAACTGAGAATGTCAATAAGTAGCTCCCACAAAAAGTCGAACTAAGTTTCCAATTTTGACCATATATACAATGGAGTGTTCCTATATTGTATCTCCCTTCTTTTATCAATTAGTCATTTCTTTTTGGTAGTGATAATTTAAGAAACAATTTTGTAGTACTTAGTTTTATTTGATTAATTCATAATTAGATTATTGAAAAAAGTGAGTTTTATAGAGAGGTATAACTAACATTACTTGCAGTTTAAAATGCAATAATATAATTGAAATACATACCTGAAGTTGAAGAGAAGGTTGGAGATTTGTTTTCTCATTGTCACTAGAGTGCAGCTTGTATTTTCCAAGGATGTCCTTCATGCTACAATCAATAAAAGAAACCAATGACATTAATTAACTTCATCAATAGAATGTTTAGTTTCTTCATAATAATTGAGGTTTTCCAATCGAGAAAGTGTTGATAAGAATCAAATTTGTGATCTTTAAATACGAGAATCATGTTCAATTCCACCAACTCAACTACCCTTTCCTAAGAAATCCTTGAAATTTTGAGTGTTCATGTGAGAATTATTTAAGATTTTGCTCAGTTTACCTCATGGTCTAACCAAAATAATTATCTAACATAAAATAAAAATAAAGTTGAAAACTCTCTTTTCATCCATCCTCCACATATTCATGTGAAAATCCATTAAACTATTAGATACAAAAATTTAAAGTTATTATTATCACGAGTAATATATATATATATATATATATATATATATATATATATATATATATATATATATTGCATTGGTATCTGAACCCTGTGACATAATAAGACTAATCTATTCGAGTTTCAGTCGGGAGGAGCAACCCTCCTAGGGATATTATAATTATATTTAATATTAATCAAATAATGACAATTTGCTTGAGAACTATGGAATGGGTAGACAATAACCCACAAATAGTACTATATTTGGCAATATTATAACTATTGACTGTATAGCATTTTTGTAGTTTATTAAGACATCCAATAATCATATCAAACAATCATTTAGAATAAATTAAGGATTATTCACAATTTATAACCATACAATTTGTCAAACTTGGAGGCCCAAGTAATCTACCTTTTACTTGACAAATATGTTGGATAGATTATGAATTGTATGGGCTACAAACTTATGGACATATATATATATATATATATATATATATATATATATATATATATATATATATATATATATATATATATATATATATATATATATATATATATATATATATAGGATCATATTAGAACATGTGTTTAGGTGAGAACATGAGAACACATCATGTGCATCCATCTAATATTTTTTAATGGTCTAGATTATGATAAGTGTGTGCGAACGCGCATTAAATATGTGCAAACACACTAAGTCCTTTTAGTAATTAGAAAACTCATTCATTTTCTCCTTCCTACGTTTGAGCAATGAAATAAAAAAAAAAATATTATCATCTCTCCTTTCAATGTAAAACTCTAATGCATATTGACATATATGTATGTACTAGTCTTTTCTATGCGCGATGCACAAAAACATATACCAAATATTTATATTTTTAAAAATAACTAACAAATTCGTACTAATTAAAATTTATATGAAATTAAATTTATTTATTATATTAATCCAATATATAATGTCTACAAATATTATTATTATTAAAGAATATAAGAAATATATGGTGGATGCATGTACATGATAACAATAATGAAAAAGATAATGGAAGTTATAACTTATAACGGTATAGTTTTTTTTTTTTTTTTTTCAAAAATTATATAGTATAACTCTAAAAGCACAATGTACAAAATGATTATCACTAAAAATATGGACATAAATTAAAAATATAACTTTAGTTGAGACTTATTATGTTTTTAGATTTAGATTATATATTTTGTATTCATTTACTTATTTATATTTATAATTAATTAAGTAATTAGATTCCAATTCCTGATTATAACAAAACCAAAAAAAAAAAAAAAAAAAAAAAAAAAGACTGCCAAAAATAGCAATAAACTGAAGCATTCATTCATATGCAGCTAATTAAGATGTGATATATGATTTGATATGACTGGACAAGGTAGAGGAGATAAAATTTAAGAATCCCAACTGCAACAGATATTGTTACAAAAAATACTACTTACTCCAAATTTGAAATTTCTACTCTCACTAAGTATTCAATTAAAAAATAAATAAAATTATGACCCTTTATTTTTTTTTATTACAAAGGAAGGGGATACCCACATATACAATCTACGTCTACACCAAAGCTCGAACCCTAATCATGACTCTTTATAGTAAGCAATCAAGCCACACCATACAGAATAAAAAATGAGCTCGCATGAACTTTAACATGTTGATTCAGTAAGCAGTATTTGAAAGAAGAAGAGTAAAAATAAGAGTATAAAATGGAAATACATATCAAATTAATATAATGACCCCTAAAAAAAAAAAAATTTATAATGTTTTGCTTCATCTGCAGCTGGTCAGCACAAAGACTAGAAAAGCAAGAAAAGTAGAAATGTGCAGAAATCTGCAGCATCATAATAAATCATGGGACAACTCGACCTGATGCCCATAAAACCTCGTGAAACTAACATACGGAGCATCAAATAACTCAAACAACATAGATATCTACGAAGCAGAAATCAAATTAAACAATTTTTTTTTTTTGTAAATTAATTAAAAGATAGATATATAAATATATTACCTGGAGCTAGCAAAGTCGAAGAGCTTGCCGGTAGCGGAGAAGACGATGAGGGCGATCTGAGCATCGCAGAGCACAGAGAGTTCTTGAGCTTTCTTGAAAAGCCCTCTTCTCCTCTTTGAGAATGTCACTTGCCGAGCCGTTATGTTATCTATCTTCTTTATCTTTATCTTCTCTCGAGCCATAATAATAATAATATCAATTTCTCTTTCTACCTTCAATTCTCTACCTGCCCATATATAATTAAACATATGAATTGAAGAGAAAACGTTTGAGAGTTAAACAAATCTGGGTTTTAGCTAGAATGAAGCAGACGAGGTTTCTTGGGGGAAAAAAAAAAAAAAAAGCCTTTTTTTTTCTCTCTTTTCTGCTAAATTTCGCAGAAACCCTAGAAGATGAAGAAAGAGAAAATCCCATTTGAGACGGGGGCGGAAAACCCGAGAAAATTACCAATAAATTGGCATGAACGTGCAGAGCTCAGGTGAATGAATGTAGGGACTGTTTGGCTTTCTCCTTATTGGGAGTGATGGGATTCCAGCTGCAGATCGATCTGATGAACTGATGAATCATATATATATATATA